CGTCGAGTCAGACCCGACTCATAGTGACCCCTCCTTGGGTTTCCGAGGCAGTATCACTACAGAAGTAGATTGCCCCATCTTCCTTCTGAGGAGTGTCTGGGAGGTTTGGAATGTTGCCCTAGCAAAATGTTTGCTAACCTGTTTCCCTGGGATAATGTTTTACCCTAAAAATAGTATACCTTAGAAACCATTCTTTAGAATCATGTACCTGAACAATCATACTATGTTTTAGAATGATGTATCTTAGTGATTATTTGCTATTCTTGTAAGAGATATTAACCCAATTAATTATCTAACATATTTGGGCAGGGGAAAATGCCTTTGGGTACGGGAAAGAGTAAAACTTTAACTTTTAATTAATAACTGATTGTTACAAGGAAATATTTGATTTTATTGTAGAAGAATATTTGATTGAATACTTGACTGTTTTAAAGAAATATCAAGAATAATGATATAATCATATGCTTATGTATAAATAAAGCAGGACGAATACATCAGGTGTCGGTCTCACAGAACATGAAGGGCACCCACCTGGCCCCCATTCCTTTGAAAAAACCTTAATCTTCTCCTGTCGCTTTGTTTCATGACCTGTGTGGTTTTGCTGGATGTGGCACCACGTGTTCCTAAAGAATGGTGATTTTAGTCATGCATGGTCATGCTCATCACCTGACAGCTGCTTCTGTGGAGGAAAAAAGGGATCCACCTCAACCAAGGGGGGCCCTGGGGGCCTGCCCGTTCAGCAGCCTTCCAGCAGTTTGATCTGTTTCTCGTTATTTTTAGGAATAAGAAGAATACATTATGCACAAAAGCCTGGGACTACCAAATTTTCTTTATCTGCAGAACCTCAAAAAAGAAATTATTTTTTCATGCTCATATAACTTATACCAAGAGCCCTATACCTAAGGAGTTTGCTAATCAGAGTGAGATTTATTCTATGTGAGTAATGTCAATGGTGGCTGGCAGTTGATGGGGGAAAACAAAACAAAACAAAACAAAAAATCCAACTCTGGGTAGTTTTTATTCAGTGCATTATAAAGTACTGGAAGACAAAATATTTATATATAAAAACTCATACAGAGTAGCTCCATGTTATTAAATTAACAGATAATTTCAAATATGTGCTATATGCATTGGAGAAAACTAAAACTCACTGCCACTGAGTTGATTCTAACTCACAGAGACCCCCTTTGGGTTTCCAAGGCAATAAATCTTTACAGAAGTAGATTGCCCACTCTTTCTTCTGTGGAGTGGCTGGTGGGTTTGAACCGCCAACCTTCTGATTAGCAGTCAAATGCCTTAGGCACTATGCCACAATAGCTCCTTATATACATAGGATAAGACGCATTATTCAGCATCGAAAGCACAGACACGTGGAGGTATTTTTTTCTTACCGTTTTCTTGTTCTCTCCAGCAGTTAGTAGCACCACATCTTCATCTTGGATCTCCAGTAGTGTGATTAGTCTCAATCTTTGCTCCTCCATTATGGATTTAGCAACTGAAGAATTCCAGTTTCTATTGGCTTTCAGGAACACAGGTAAGACTTCCTATAATAAAGAAAAAAGATTTACTCATCCTTTTAAAAAGGTGAGGTTGATTTCTTTTTCTTGTAAAAGTAGTACCAAGGTTTCTCGTGCCCAAACAAGAGAACCGACATGAGATTATCTTGTTCCTTTCCTGGACCCCTTCAAAATAATACTAAGGGAATTTGAAAAATTAATCCCACCACAATGAAAATATAATATGGAGAGGCTTATCAGCAAATAAGAAAATTCCACATGCTTTTGGCAGACTGCAAGTGGATGGAATAGAAATGATTAAAGAAGGAAGATGAGGGAAGCTCTGGCCTAGAAAACAATGGTGGTGGTGGCTGTAGCACAAGAAGGAACTGATTTTGCCCTGCAGAATTCTGCAGAGGCTTAGAATTCTCAAGAAGCCATGGGTCCCTGGGTAACAACCAACAGCTGGATTACAGTTCAACATAAAGAAAACAAAAATCCACAAATGGACCAACAAGCAACGTCATGATAAATGGAGAAAAGAAGTTGTCATGGATTTCATTTTACTCGGATCCTCAATCAATGCTCATAAAATCAGCAGTCAAGAAATCAAACGATGTTTTGCATTGGGCAAATCCGCTGTGCAAGATCTCTTAAGGGTTAAAAAGCATCTGGATTGTTTCTATCTCTTTGCTATTGTGAATAGTGCTGTGATGGACATGGGTGTGCATATATCTATTAATGTATCAGCACTCAGTTCTTTAGGATATATACCTAATAGTGGGACTGCTCGATGAAATGGTATTTCCAACTCTTTATGGAAGTGTCATACCATTTTCCACAGTGGTTGTATCATTTTACAGTCCCAGCAACAATGTGTGAGAGTCCCAATCTCTCCACACCCTCACCAGCATTTGTTATTTTCCATCTTGTTAAACTCTGCTATTATTGCAGGGGTGAGATGACACATCTCACTGTTGTTTTGATTTGCACCTCTAATGGCTAATGATCATGAGCATTTCTTCCCGTGTTTGTCAGTGAAATATCTATTCCCATCTCTGTTCATTTCTGAACTAGATTGTTCATCTTTTTGACGTTGAAGTACTGATGTTTTCTATAAATTTTAGAGGTAAGTCCTTTGTCAGATATGTTGTTGCCAAATATTCAGCCTCAATCTGTACGTTCTCTTTTGGATAAGACTTATGATACACATAATTTAATTTTCAGAAGGTTCCAGTCATCTAGTTTATCTTCTGATGTTTGTGTATTTTGAGTTATGCTTGATTGTATATTTATGCCATAAATTAAGGCCCCTAAGTTTGCTCCTATTTTATCTTTGATGAACTTTATAGGTTTGGTTTTACATTTAGGTCTTTGATCCATCTTGAGTTTGTTTTTGTATATGGTATGAAGTATGGATCTTGTTTCATTTTGCTGCAAATGGATGTAGTTTTGTCAGCACCATTTTTTAAAGAGACTATCCACAGAATGGGTTATGTGTCAACTTGGCTGTTGTTGTTATTGTTATGTGCCGTCAAGTCAGACCTGACTCATAGTGACCCCTCCTTGGGTTTCCGAGGCGGTATCACTACGGAAGTAGATTGCCCCATGTTCCTTCCAAGGAGTGGCTGGTGGGTTAGTTATTCCCCATGATGAGACTGGTAATCAACTCGATGGTGGAATCTACTGGAGCAGCTGAGTAGCAGCCTCAGAGATGTGGTCTGCTTCCTGTATATAAGAAGTTTTCAGAAAGGTCTCTGGAGCTTTTTGGCATGCGTGAACCCTGCATTTAGGCGAGTCTTCATTCAATAGCCGGCCATGTTTCTTGCTGATCTTGAGATTGTCTCTGGACTTGAACTAGTGGCCTGCCATGTCATTTGATAATCTCAGGACTGTGCCTTTTTACTTGTCGACCTTGGACTTGCCAGCTTCAGAAGCCAGCAGCTACCTGAGTTAGGAAACACCTCTAGGTTCAGTGTGCCAGGGACAAGAGGCAGAGCTGAAGCCCAAGGAGAAGGGGCCTTCACCCAGCCCCTAGAGCTTGGCACTGTGAACTTGGACTTCTAGCCTCCAAAACTGTAAGAGAATAAATCCCTGTTTGTTAAAGCCACCCATTTGTGGTATTTTCTGTTAGAGTGGCACTGTTGTTGTTGTTGTTGTTATGTGCCGACGAGTCAAACCAAAATAGAACAGGAGAGGAGGGAATATTGCTGGTAGTTAAGAGACATGTGTTGATTTGGGTGAAGGGAAAGGCAATATAATAAAAGCGTGTGACAACACAGTATCACTAAGGAGAAGTAAGACACGGGGAGGTGTAAAAGAGGTATAGACAATAAAGGTAATACTATTCCACATACAATAAATACTCCATTATCAGTAATAACAAACACTAATCTACAGGTGGATACGTGGGTAGACAGGCAAGAAGATCAGGTAGGCGAATAGGACTATGTCCACGACCATACATAGGTTTGGTGCGTATTTGCATGTGCTTTAAAAATGTCCATATGCATTATAAAGCTAACAGAGGACAAAGTTAGGATGACTTCTTAGCCACAACTGAATACCTTGAGGGAGTCAGTTACTGAGCCTGAGGCTCAAGACCATGGCTGGGGGAGAGGCATCAAGCACAAATACTACAACATAGTACACAAAAACATTGTTTTACAGCCTACTTTGGTAAATAGTAACTGGGGTCTTAAAAGCTGCAACAGCCATCTAAGAAGCAACCACTGGTCTCTCCTTGTCCAGAGCAAAGAAGAGTGAAGAAAATCAAAGATACATGGAAACAATTAGTCCAAAGGACTAATGTACAGTGAGAATCTCAGGCGACACAACCCTGAAACCAGAAGAACTAAATGATGCCCAACTTCCAATTCCAACCACTTGGAAAGGGATCAAAATTGGTGATCCTGGATATAGTGGGAGAAAATATGTTGAAAAAAAATTAAAAAACATAAAAAAGACCAGGATTACTGGTCAGATAGAGACTGATGAAACCTTGAGACTATGGTCCCTAGTCATTCTTTGGGCCTGGAACTGAATTCACTCTCACGGCTTAACAATAGAAAAACAACAGCCAAACAACAGACAAGCCTATGAGCTGAACTACACAAAGGAGATTCACTTCTTTGAAACATTTACCATGGGAAATCAGAAGGGAAGCTTTCACAGGGAGAAAGCTAAGGAAGCAGGAATGCACAGGCAAGAAGCACACAGCGAGAAAGTGGGAAGAGAGCTGTTACATTATGGGGATTGTAATCAGTGTCACAAAAAATGTATGAAATATTGAATGTAAAACAAATCTGCTTTATAAAATCTCATGCAAATCACAATAAACAGTGACAAATCAACAAACAAACAAAACAAAAAATTAAGTATTAAAAAGCAACGATGTCACTTTGAAGGCTAAGGTACTTTCTGACCTAAGCCATGATATTTTCAATTGCCTCATATGCATGCAAAAATTGGCAATAAATAAGGAAGACTGAAGAAGAAGTAATGTCTTTTAATTATGGTGCTGGTGAAGAATATTGAGCATACCATGAACTTCCAGAAGAATTAGCAAATCTGTCTTGGAAGAAGTACAGCCAGAATACTTCTTAGAAGTGAGGATGGTGATACTGGGTCTCATGCACTTGGAACATGTTATCAGGAGGGAATAGTCTCTGGAGAAGGGCATCATGCTCTTTAGAGTAGTGGGTCAGCGAAAAAGAGGAAGACCCTCAACAAGACAGACTGACACAGTGGCTGCAACAATGGGTTCAAACACAGCAAGGATTCTGAGGGTGGAGCAGGACCAGGCAGTGTTATGTTCTTTTGTACATAGGCTTGTTGGTTGCTTGAGTTAGAACTGACTGGACAGCACTTAACAACAGCAGAACATCAGTGGCTAATGACTATGAGCACCTTTTCATGTGTTTGTTGTCTGCTTGGATGTCTTCTTTGGTGAAAGTTCTCGTCATGTCCTTTTCCCATTTTATAATTCAACTGTTTGTCTTTTTGTTGTTGAGTTGATGAAGTTTACTGTAAATTGTGAAGATAAGACTCTTCTCAGGGAGGTCTTCTGTTGAGATGGTGGAATGGCAGACAAACTACACAGACTCTCTTCAACAAAGAAATGAGAAACCAACTGATACAGATACAGAAGATAATTCTGGAGCCCTGAACTTTGAAAGGAAGGATACAGAAGTGGATAAAATACCAACTAATAGAAGGGCCTGAATGAAAACAGTGAATAAGGAGACAAATGGGGCTGCAGATTGTCAGTGATTCTGATGGCATGGACAGTTTGAGTATTTCCAAGTGGTGTTAGGACCTGAGAATTATCCTGCAGCCTCTGATGTAAGAAATGGTGTCTGGATTTCCCATGGAAAAGTTGGAGAGTGCTCTGTCTTTCCGTCATGGATGCCCTGCAAAGACTCGCCCATGGTGTCCTACTGTAGGCAGCGAGTTAGGCATTTCCCTCTGTGTCACTTTTCTGAAGTATCTTTATTTTCCTGGTGCCTTTTCAGCTCTTCCCATTCCTGGTGCCCATCAGTCTTGGTTTTTGGCGAGATTCAACAGCACTCTCTCGCAGTGACACTGCCTTTCCCCCCTCTCCCAAGTGCATGACCCACTAACTCTCATAACTAAGGCACACAGTCTTAAAAAAAAGAGCTACAGCTTCTTTAGTTTAACTCATTCTGTGTTCTTTGTTCTTTTTTCTGAGGTCCCCAAAACTGCTGCAACAAGAACATGCTCCAGATGCTAGCAGGTAGATTCTCCCAGCTTTTGTGCCACCCTTGCTCCTCATCTCCCATTTCTGGACACACCCTGAGTCATCAACACCTCAGTTACCACCCAGAGTTCTGAGATCTCAGTCTGTGTTTGTCTTCATTCATTGTTCAGTGGGTTAATTGCTGGGGTATAAACAAAAGCAACCACTCATTTTGTCATCTTGCCCTGCCCTCTCTTGTAGATGTATTTCTAAAAACTGGTGATTAAGACTGAAGTTGGATGGGTTGGAACAAATATTGTTTTTCATTATTCCTTCTGTATTATTTGATTTTTTTGACCAAGTGGATGCATACTGTTGCTAACAATTAATACACACATTAAAAACATTTTAAAGCACCAAATCAAGTTAAAATATATTAAGAAATTAAAAAACAAAACAATGAACAGTGACCAGTTGCTATCAAGTCAATTCTGACTCATGGCAACCCCATCTATGTATGTCAGAGTAGAATTGTGCTCCACAGAACTTTATTCAGTAAGTCAAGAATGGGACCCAGGAATCTGGGTTTTTAAATTGGTTATTTTTTGTTTTTTCTTATCTGTGACCCTTTTTACCTCTGTGTGGGTTTGAACAGCCAACCTTGTGGTGCTTAACCATTTGTACCACCAAGAGATTCTCCATAGGATTTTAAATAGCTGACTTTTTTTTTTTTTTTTCCCATAGAGACACTTTTATTAAGCTTTGGACAGGACAAAGACAAAATAAAGAGAATCATGTAGGATGAGGGAAACCATCAGCATGTACAAAGCATATACATAACTAAATGGAGTCCTTTAAATGGCTGATTTTTGGGAATTAGATCATCAGGCCTTTCTTCTCAGGTACCTCTAGATGAACTTGAACCTCCATCCTTGGGGTAGCAGCCAAGTGTGTTTGGCCCACCCAGGGACTCACATTTCTTAAATAAGAATTCAGGATATTAGGAAAGTTTAAAAAAAAAGAAAAGAGAGAGAAAAGGAGAAAAAAAGAGAAGAAGAAAATGTAGTAACAGTCCCATCACCTAAAGACTGCCAAAGTTAATATTCAGACTTATTTTCTGATCCTGTGGTTCCTAGAGACAGATTTCATTGACTAGTTTAAAAAAAAAAACAAAAAACAAAAAACCCAAACTGGGAGACATGAGGTTGTCAATTCTGTATTTACCAAGGAAGCGTATAAAACAAACTGAAAATGTTATCTACTATAACCATCATTTCATAAAAGAAAGAACATGTTTCCAACAAATAAAATACAGCACAGAAAAAAATAAATGACAGTTCTTTAAATTAAATTCATTTAACTTCATGAAAACTTCTATTTCCTTGAGTTTTCTTATTTTGTCTCAAAACTATTTTGGAAACCACTACCCTAATATTTTTCCTTCTTTTCTTTTTTTTTTCCCTTCTTTTCTTACTGAAAAATCCCTTTATTGTTCTTCAAACTTGAGGTATGAGGCTTGGGACATGGTAGTAGTAGGGGTGGCTAGCTGGTTTTCAATCACAAATATATTTTTAAATGGTTATGATCATAGTATATATGTAATTCTGCACCCTCATTTTCTTACTAAGCCTTACAATAAACATTTTTCCTATATTACAAACTCTTACGAAATGAAGTTTTAAAAAGGAACTTTAATGTTAACTCCTGCAATTTATACCATAATTTACTTAATTGATTCCCATTTGGTTTCATTTTATTGTTATAACTGATGTCTCCCCATATTCCTTTCTTTGGAATGTATTACAGAATATTACTGAATCTAACAGGATGAATATTTTTAAAACTACTGATTCCAAAACAATTGAGGCAATTAATACTTCCACAGACAATATTATGAAAACACCCATTTACCACTCTTCCTCTACTTTTTGAGATCTTCCATCCACCAAGTCATACTAAAAAAAGGGGTTTGTCCACAATGTATTCAGAGTTCAAAAAGACAGTATAGTAAGAACAATGAATACAAGCTTTCTTTCATATACCAACAATCATGTTTTATTTTATTTATTTATTTAAGACCCTGTTTTACATTCAACGTAACGTGTACATTTAGTTTCATTCCCCATTCACCATGTCCAACCCTAACCCAGTCTCCTCTCCTCCCTACACTGTAATCCTCCCCTGTGCCCTTCATATTTATGCACTTGTTTGTCCTGCATTTCCTCAGTTTGAATGTTGGTCCTCTGGTGTCCCATGGTCTATTGCTCTAAGGAATGTATTACCATAGAGTATGTGGGTGCGTCATCCTGGGCTGAGTGGTCTGTGTGTACATCCTGTTAACTAATGGGCTGAGAGCCTGTCCCTGGAGGTGAGTTTTATTCCAGGCTATCATGCTTTCTTTTAAACTTGGGCACATGGATCTCTGCTTACCTTCCTAACTGGATTAAAATACCTTTGTTTATTAAAGGCTATGGTTGGACTTTCACATTCTGATTAATGGTGAATTCAACTATTTATATTAAAGTCTTAGAGGGCTACGACTAATTTTACAAATCAAAGGAAGAAATGTAAAATGCTCTGAAATAGTAAGATCCTTAAGCTTAAGAGCTTAAGTAATTATTAGTTCAAAATATTAAATCCCCAAAAGGGGAAAAAATAAAACCCTGCTGATTAACTCCTTACCTGATTAAATTGTTCAGATGCCAATTTTCTAATGGACTCAATGTCTTTCCTTTTTAAGTATTTCTGGAGAAAGAAAAACAAAAGTAAATTCATCAGTATGACACTTTGGCTTCATGAACATGTTTATATTATATGGGACACATATAAACTTTGTGCCTTTCCAATCGTAATGCTGCTGTTGTTGTTATGTGCCATTGAGTCAGACCCAACTTACTGTGACCCCTCCTTGGGTTTCCAAGGCAGTACCACTACAGAAGTAGATTGCCAACCTTCCTTCCGAGGAGTGGCTGGTGGGTTTGAATCGCTAGCCTTCTGGTTAGCAGTCAAGTGCCTTGGGCACTATGCTACCAGAGCTCCTGTTCCAATTGTAATAGTAGCATTCAATAAGATTTAGTTTCTATTGCCAAATGACAAATTTTCAAAGCTTGTTATGAGATTTATTTTTTTCTACTTATGCAGTTCTCAGTGGAAACAGCTACAAATGTGTTGCACAGAAGACCTTGCATATGCTTTATGCAGAATAACTTTTTTTTAAAATTGTGATTTGGGTGAAAGTTTACAGAGCACATTCATTTTCCATATAGCTGTTCATATACATTTTGTTTATGACATTGACTGCAATTTCCCACAATTTAACAGCTACCTTTCAACTTCCACCCTGGAGGTACCTCTTCCCTGTGTCCTTCCCTCCCAGGCACTCCTGCCCCCTGAGCTCTCTCCCTGTGCAAACACTGCTCCTGTGTTCTCCCACAACTGATCACTCCAAAAAGTGTATCTACCTGATGTAAATGTTCACCCCATATGCCTGTCTATTGTTTGGCTGGAAGCCACAGGAGTGAGTTCAATTCTAGACTTGAAGGGTCATAGGGGCTATAGTCCAGGGGTCTCACCAGGGTTTATCAGACTAGCAAATCTGGTCTTTTTTTTCCCAATGATTTTGACTTTTGTTCCACATTGTTCTCCCACTCTATCCAGGATCTCCTTTTATGCAGGATAAGTTTCCAAAAATGAATTTCTACAGCTGAATTGTGATAGAAATACAACTTTCACAAGCTATTCAGGATTTGATTATTTTAGGTTGTTTGTATGTGTATACAAACACACACACATATAAACAAGGAGTCCTGGTGGCACAGTGGTTAAGTGAGCACCTGGCTATTAACTGAAAGGTCAGCAGTTTGAACCCCTAGCCACTGTGTGGGAGAGAGATGTGGCAGTCTGCTTCTGTAAAGATTTATAGCCTTAGAAACCCTATGGGGGCAGTTCTTCTCTTTCCTATAGGGTTGCTATGAGTTGGAATCTATTCAACAGCAATGGGTCTTATATTTTACATATAAAACAACATATGTGTTGCTTTAACTTTTACTGTGTGTATAATTCAGTGGCATTACGTTCCCCATGTTGTGCAACCATCACCACTTTCCACTTCCAAATTTTCATCACTCTTAACAGAGATTCACTGTCCCTTAAATAATAACTCCTTCTTGATTCCTCCCACTTGCCCCTGGTGAGGACTAATAAAACTTTGGTCTCTATGCATTTGCCTATTCTAGGTATTTTATTTAAGTGGGAATCATACAATTTCTGTCCTTTTATGACTGACTTATTTCACTCAGCACAATGTTTACAAGGCTCATCCATGTCACAGCATGTATTAGGACTTCGTTTCTCTTTCCCAAAACCAAACCAAACTCACTGCTGTGGAGTCGATTCTACTCACAGTGACCCCTCTTTGGGTTTCCGAGGTGGTATCACTACGGAAGTAGATTGCCCAACCTTCCTTCTGAGGAGTGTCTGGTGGGTTTGAACCGCCAGCCTTCTGGTTAGCAGTCAAGTGCCTTAGGCACTACGCCACCAGAGCTCCTTCCTCTCTTTTTAGGGCTGAGTAATACTCCATTGTATATATGTACCATATTTTGCTTAACTGTCCATCTCTTGATGGATTCTTGGTTTTTTTTCACCTTTTGTCTGTTATAAATTTTGCTGCAATGAACACTGGTATATAAGTATCTGTTTGCATCCCTGCGTCTAAGTATTTTGGGTATATGCCTACGAGTGGAACTGCTGGGTCACATGCTAATTCTACAGTTAACACCTTGAGGAATTGCCAATGGTTACAGTGGCTACAACATATTTCAGGTTTTTAAAAATTCTTTATTTCTTACTTTTTCTAAATTATTTCACTATATCTAAGTTAGATATTATGGTTATCATCATTAATTAATATTCATAGGACAATTAACTAGGTATGGGGATGCAAAATAGTAAAAACCTGCAGTCTTATAACCTACTCTAGGAAGACTAGCCATACCCAATATGGGGTAAATAATAGTCAGCAAGATACGTTTATCTGAACACTTTAGTTATGTCCAGACTAGAAGACACCAAATTACTTTCTAATGAACATATGAAGTAAATCGAAAGTAATGAGACCATTTATCTTCCCTGCTCTGAATATAATGATGTATGTCCAAATGAGAATAGTCTTTCAAAATAATAATATTATTTAAAATGGTTCTGGAATTACTTTTATTAAATTACTTTTAAAGCAGCTACACTAACTACAGAAAATAAACATGTCAGAAGATAAAGAACCAACATGCTAGGGCTGAGAGCCTTTGAGTTTTCAGGCTGGAGGTAGACTGCTAAATATTATTTTAGATTCATCATGGGTGGAAATTAGTTCAACTGAAGTACATTTATAGGACTACTTTATAATATTGTTTAAAAGGAAGAAAAGAGTCCCAGATTTTGAGTGTGAACTCATATTCATAAGGTTTTATTAGTCTCTATTGATATTAGACATTTAGGGACCCTGTTGGATTTTATATAAAATACATATTCTTATTTAAAGAGAACAATTCTTTCCAAAGCTTAATATATATTTTAGAGAAAATGTAGACTTATGCTTTACTTACTGCTCCTTCAGGGACACATATAGCTTTGATAGTTCCTTGAGGCTTGCTAAGTACATCTTGAAGGAATCCAATCTTTGTGTTTCTGAACACATCACTGATATCTACAATCTGGAAAACAGGTACCAAAAAGGGGTCACTACCTGTGAAGCAATGTAGAACTTTTATGCCCAAACATTTTACAATCAGTATTACCACAAACACACGTTTATCATGGGTCTGGCACTGTGAATAGTGCTTTATATATATTAATTCATCTCATCTGCATACGAGTATGAGGAAGGCATTCTTATTATCCTCATTTCAGAGATAAGGAAACTGAGGCACAAAGAAGAAAGTAACTTGCCCAAGATGACAGAGCTAGTAAGTACCAGAGCCAGAATTCAACAGTCTGACTTAAGAACCACTGTACTATTATTATTATTATTATCCCTTCCATATTACAAAAGAAGAAAAAGTAGTTAAGTTGCCAACTATAAGCAGGCAATTATGAGATTCCAGTATCTAGAGCTTTTGTGTATTATATGTTTTTCATTCTAAAAATTAAGCACTACTTATTGATACACAAAGCAGGATTCAATTTCTAAGGAATGTGCACTGAGAGAAGAGATATACAAATGTCACCAGATTACAGAGACTAAGGAATGCTGCTCTCTAGAAGGAAATGGTCATAGGGCTGGTAATGGAAACTGCTGTATATAAATTCTTCCTTTACCTTTAGTTAAATGTTACAGATTATAGTAGTTTGGATAAACATTTGCACACATGTGAGTTATTTACAGACCGGGGAAAAAGAGTAAACAACTCCTAATAATTTGCCTTCCAAGTGCTAATTTGGTTTTTAAAAAAACTGAAGAATAGGTTTTCTTTTTTCTTTCAAGTTACAATTCAGGTCCACATAATCAGTAACTTGTTACTAATAAAAGCTTTATAGCTAGAATTTTGTTCTTAGAAATGTCTTAGAACATTAAAAAAAACAAACCAAACCAAATCAACTACTTTCAAGTTGATTCTGACTGATAAGATCCTCCAGGACAGAGCAGAACTGCCCCATAAGGTTTCCAAGGAGAAACAGACTCCCACATCTTTCTCCTGTGAAGTGGTTTGTGGGTTCAAATCACTGACCTTTCAGTTAGCGGCTGAGCGCTTTAAGCGCTGCACCACCAGGGCTCCTTGTTTTGGAAAATGGTAGATGGTAAAAGAAGTATTATAATGTGAACACACTATTATTCTCTCTCACTGAAGCTTGGTAACAACAAAAAATATTTAACAGTGTGTGGTGTAGTTAATTACTTAGTGTGGCTTTTCTACCCATAAGTCTTTGTAAACTCCAAGGTGGGATTTTCTATGGGCAACTGAGGAGCTCCTGATTGCTGAAGTTGTCCACCTGGAGTACTTCTGTTGGGAGTGGCACAAAACAATGTTCTGGGAGGTGCCCACT